AACCTTTAAGAAATGCCAAAGAAAAGGGGGAACCCTCCTTGTCCCCTTCTGTCTCCTCTTGCTTCAGGAAGAAGGATTTCAATGTTTTTTAAAAACATTTCTCTAAGTGGTACACTTAGCACTGCCCTTTTGCTGAGGACAGAAGATTTTAATTTCCCAACTTAACCTCCCAATTTCCCCATATCGCTAAGTGGTTAAACTCTCTGTTTAAGCTACTACTGATATGGGGACATTGAAACCACCTGGGAAATTAAAGCAGGAACCTCACTTTGATTTGTTTCCAGCAATCACATGTGCTGGAAACAAACCAAAACATACCAAAAAGTGGTAATTCCTTTCAGGAACCCAGCAAGATGGAAGTAGTAATGTTCTGGAGATGGGCTGGTTCACTGTAGCAATTATGTTGTCTGATCACCAGAAAAAAGACCAAACCATTTCATCCCTGCAGTAGACCAAAAAGTGAGACAAATGCCCATCTGATTGCACCCTTAGGGAAGCCAGTACTTCCCATTTTGGACTGTCATTTGCAGTACAGAGAAAATAGTCAAAACTCTGCATGTATCACGATTTTGCCAGAACATATGCATAAATGCTGAATGTGATCAGGGACTCAGGATTTTGTTTTCTGTAAAAATATGTAACATTTCCCCTATCTTTCCTTCAAAGAGCTCAAGGTTTCTAGCCCTTAACACCCATGCAGGTATGCTTCGAACCCAAAATAGGGCCGAAAAAGATGTCCAGAGGTTAGGAGCAAGGCTATTGCGATCTTCTCAGTTGATTGGCAACTTGTAGTTTACTCTCCTTCAAGCTATCCCTGAATTTATGTGATGATAAAACTTTTTCATTTATGTTGCTCTAGCTTCCTCAAAGATAGAGTGAGATACAAAAGTAATAAAAAAGCAATATCTCTGGCTGGTGCAAACATTGGCTGGGGAAGGGCAAAGGCTAAAAAAGGCTTAATATTTTGCCTCACTAGTGCCAAATACCAGGGCCTGCCATGCATTTAATTTAAATCCTGCTCAGCTAAGAACTGAGTCTCAGCTAGTCTCTTTGGACTGCAAAGAGAACTAATGCTTCTAAATTACTTGTGCAGTTAAACCATTGGCCAGGAGAAAGGTCAGAGGCCCCCCCCTGCAATACTGGGAGGAAATATTTTCCCTGAGGCATCTCTCCCTCTTCCCCCACCTATGGCTTCCTCTCTGCCCACACACTTCTGGACAGAGGGCCGCAGCAGCAGCAGCTCCATCTTCAAGGGAGGAATAATAAAGAAGGTCTGGTTAATGAGAAACTCACATGAATCATGGGAAGAGAGGAGACAAAGGAGCAGCTGATTGGAAAGAATCACTAGGGACACTGAGGGGGGAAAAACCCATATATATATACACACCAGAGAACAGGTTGTGGGTTTGTCACGCGCCTGGGAATTAATGACTGTGATGGAATGAACCAGGAGAAATTGGGATTAGTCAAACACTACTGAGGTGGAAGAATGAGAACATAGAAACACATAGCAGAAATAAGGATTTAAGAAACACAAAACATACAAAATATTCAGATTTCAGGTTGTGCGATGAAACCCATATCTCAGGATCTGGGTTGCAAAGCTTGTTTCCGGCCTTGCTATCTTGACCACACGCTTCAGTAGCCCAAAGAATATAATGTAGTAGACACCCTTTCCTCCCAAAAAACCCACACCAATTTCCCTGCTAGAAAAATCATTGTTTGCTTGATTTCTTCAGTTTTGGCTGCTTTTAAGGATTCAAGAGCAGCGCCAGCTGAAAGAAGTGGCAAATCTATGCAGAATTCGCATTCCTTTTTTTGGAGGGTCATGTTCGTATATTACATAAATTCTTGGTGAGCCTTACAAAACCCCATTTTGGACTTCAAAACTGGTACTCTGACCATATTTGAAAGGTCAGCCAAAAACAGTGACTTCCTTTGTGGCAATTGTGTGGCTGCCTACTATCTTCCCCTCCTGATCATTTTCAGAATCCCCAAGCCAGCGTGGCCGAAGTTTTGTTCCAAAAAAGCCACTCTTCCTTGCTCTATCCATATCTGGGAGAGATGAGGTCACTGTGGACTCTGCCTACTATCCTCCCCTCCTATTAAGGTAAAGGTAAAGGTTCCCTTTGACATTTAGTCCAGTCATGTCCGACTCTAGGGCGCAGAGCTCATCCCCGTTTCCAAGCCGTGGAGCCAGTGTTTGTCCGAAGACAGTTTCCGTGGTCATGTGGCCAGCGCGACTAGACACAGAATGCCATTACCTTCCCCTCGTGGTGGTACCTATTTATCTACTCACACTTTTACATGCTTTTGAACTGCTAGGATGGCAGGAGCTGGGACAAGCAATGGGGGCTCACTTCGGCGTGTGGATTTGATCTTACGACTGATGGTCTTCCGACCTTGCAGCACAGAGGCGTCTGCGGTTTAGCCCACAGCCCCACCACGTCCCCTCCCCTCCTATTACCTGCTGCTATAAGTGCCTTCACAAATTTAGGTTTTAAAATAGCTGGAAGGAAGATGTAACCTTTCCCTATCCTGGCATAACAGATCAAATACAGACTGGGAACCTACATGCTTACTTGCAAGTAAAAAAGAAAACAATTTTCAGCAGCAAGCTATGCATTTACTGTACTGTGCTGTTTAATGCAAGGCAGAGCTGCATTTTTTGCAGTCCAGTGGTAGATGCAAGGCCAATACTTTTCAGCAAGGCCTTAAGTCCTGTATCTTTTTATCTACTGAATGGGCTTAGCATTTTTTGCAGAGTAATAAAAGTTCAGAGTGTTTTTTTTCTGAAGAGATCATAATGGTTGAGTTGAGCAATAAATAGCCTACCTGTTTTATTAAAGTTTGGTAAACTCCCCAAACTGCCACATTGCACAACGCTTGTTGTATTTTACAGCCTACACACAGAAAACTCGCATGGAATGGAACGTACTGTGGTTCTGTACAAGGGGCAAGGCTGATTCCCTCAGCTCCGAGAGCCACAAGAGTTGCTTCATTTTCTGTTATCATCCCTGAGTCACTCAAACAAGCATCCAGCATTCTGGGACTGAACAGATAGGCCGGCCAAACACAAACATTTATTTCCTCCTTCAGGAAAAGCCAACGTAATTCTGGTCTGGATCAAACAATCAAAAACTTTAGTTGCACGTTTAAAAGCTGGAATCTTTCCTTTTGCTCAAATGAAAAGGCTTCCAATTTGCCTAGCACTCTTCTTTTAAAAGGTTAGTAGTATCTGTCTGAAGAGTTTTGTGCTAGTCACAAGTCTGCTACTGTGCAAACGCCAAGGATTCCAAAACACCATGTCAAAGTTCAGCAGTGGTACTATGTGGCCTCCAGTTGTTTGGTGGCAACTCCATCAGAATAACCAGCACACCTAATATGGGAGTTGTGGTGCAACAATTTCTGGAGGGCTATATATTTCTATTTCTGTTTTAACGTGTGGAGCAAAGATACCATTTAAGGAAGGCAAGAGCACATCCTCATCCGAACTCCTATGTTTCAGACTTTATATGATTATTCTTTAGGAACACCTTTATTTCTGGCCAGTTAGTTGGATTCGTGCACAAAGTATTGCTATAAACAATTTGACTGGGTTTATATACTAGAGAGGCATCCAAAAGTCCAAAATCCTTTTCCTTAAAAGAGGTTACGGCTTCATCTGTGTTCTAACATTGCCAACATTTCTTTGAGTGTAGGAAGTCATAACATACATTTCTAAAATGCTTTTGCAGTTTAATGATGGAGAAAAGGAAGATTGAAGCCGTACAATTTTATGAGACTCTTCCACCACTTGTCTGTATTAAATCTAAACTATTATCTCTGAAGAGCAAGCCAAAGTTTCCCAGAATCTGAGGATGGAGATCTGCAACAAGTTCTATGTAAGATTACAAAGCTTTACGAGCGGTGTTGCTTTCCAAAGCATACACACATCCTTCTGTCTCAGAGCTTGGACGAGTTACTTGTGGAAGTAAAACTCCCAGAATTCCCCAGCCACCTGTAAAAATAATTTTTCCAAGCTCTGGTCAAACAGTGTGTTTATTTCATACACAATATCTTTTTGTAGAGTATTTATTTTGCACACTGCGAAAACCTCCAAAATCTATTTGACCAGAAAGATAAAGGGGACGAGTGCTATGTGCTGGAGTTATTACAACCTCACATGCTGTCTGTAGTTTGTTTGGTTGGGAGGGACCTTTTTGGGCAGGGGTGACTGTCAATTTATCCAGCACTAAAGTTTGGTTGGGAGGGACCTTTCTGGTCAATTTATCCAGCACTAAATGACTGTTCCTTCCTACCTCTGAATTCAAAGAGATGATGGTTCCTTCCTACCTCTGAATTCAAAGAGGACCCCACCTCTGTGCTTGAGTGTTCCTTTCCCTCTCTTTAGTCTGAAGCAGCTTTATTGTTAGTTGATTGTTGATCTGTTCACAACTGTTAAGTAATGAAATGTTTTTATGCTTTTTCCTACATATGTCTCTGAATGAGCTATTGAGACTTTAAGTGTCTGTTAAAGAGGAAGGGGTGGACTATCTGGGGAATTCGAAGCTATTCTCCTCTGTGAGTCTCTGCACGTCTCTGCGCTTCTACTGCATAGCAAAAAAAGAAAAAGAAAAAAAAGAATTTTACCAGACATTCAAAACTCTGCAACGCTTATTCAGATTTCAAAAGCCCACTCCGACACTGCATCTACCCACGCTGGCAGATTCCACTCACCAGAACAGAGTTCTCCTTTGAAGCGGACACAGGAGAAGTCGTCGCATTCACAGTACTTGCCGGAAATCTTGCCAAAGTCACTGCTGTAGCAAACACACTGGCCGCAGATACATTCGCCCCGCTGGCTGCAGAGGGAGAGCCCCCCAGATGGGCTGCAGTTGTCCTGCTGGGAGGGGCTGTACTCCTCCTCTGAACACTCACAGTGGGAGCCCAGCCGGCCTGGATGGCAGCGGCACATGCCGCATTCAAAGGTGCCGTTGCCATGGCTACAGAGGTTGCTGTCAGGCTGGGCATATTGCTGGCACCGACAGTCGCAGTCAAAGTTCACCAAGACTGTCAGGCTGTCCTCAAAGCCCACTGGCTTGATGGTGAAAGACTTTTGCTGTTCCTGGGGGCAGCCACGAGCCTTTGCCTCAATGCTGAAACTCACCTGGGAAGGGCAACACAGGCAGAACTGTTTACACTACAACTTAATGGAACAAGCTTAAAAAAAAGGATCAAACTCACACTTAAAATAATCTTATCCCCTCTTTCTCCTCTCTCAGTTTCTATATCTCTGTTTCTATATGTATGGTGTTTCCTTACTGTAAAATTCATCTTCCTCCTGTAAGAAATCATGTAGCAGTCTTTGGATGTGATCAGATAGGGAAATGGCTCGCATTTTGGTTGGGTGCAAGCTGTTTCCTGGCAATCATGTAACACACTAGGGATCACAAACGAGCCTGATCCTCATCTATGCCCAAGCAGGACCTTTTTGATCCAGCAACAGGGACATTCTTTTTTGGGGGGCCGAGCTGTAGTAATCTCCATGTAGATGGAAAGGTCACTTTAACGGAGATTACCTCCAGCAAAGGGACCCTTTCCAGCATGAGTAGACATGGTCTAGAGGGGCGAGGTATAAATTTAATAAATAAATTAATTTTAAAAAAAAGATCAGACATGACACTTCCCCCAAAGAAACGAGGAATAGGCTGTGTGGTTCCCCAAGAGTACACAAATGTGACACCTTTTGTTGGACCACTAAAAAAATTAAATAGCCAGCTTTCATGAAAATCAACTTCCTCAGACTAAGCACACCTCTTTCACAAATAATGCAGAAAAATTGTAGACAAGAGTCCCAAAATGGATGATCGATGTCTGTGAGAGATGATCCAGGTCTTCTTGAGGCTGGGCCTCTAGTGTCTCTGCAGCAAAGCTTGGGATTTTACACCCCTCCTCTTGAGACCAAAAGGCTGCCAATGGCCGCGTGATGGCCCCCTCCCACATACTCTCACATGGCTTGCTTAAAACATATTTTAAAAAGAAGACAAAAATGTTGTGGCACCTTAACAGCTGCTATATTTTAATGTGAGCTTTCATGAACAAGTTCACTTCTTCAGACCATATGTAAAAGACTGATAAAATTTCTTTTAGCTGTGGGAGTCGGGGGAAACAGGACACAAAGACCTAGACCGAGATACTTCCTTGCTGTCTGATCGCACCTTATATTTTTCTAACATAGATTAATGTTAGTGCAGCGGCACTGCTCAGGTACTCACAACGATCACACACTTTTTCAGGAAAACATTGAAACTATATCATTTTGAATCAAAAGATTATCATCATTTTTGAAAATTAGGGACTTCTGATGTTAAACATATGTGCATAGTCATTTGAGCATGAGATGTCATAACAGCCATGTTATGCCCTTTTATAGACACACCAAATAAATACAAACTGTCAACTAATAATATGGAAAGACAGAGATGCTGCTCTGCACTGCAAGACAGATTTTCTCTAATCAAGCAAGTATTTTCTTGAAAACATGCACAGGCACATACCAGGTTCCATACTGTAATGAATGCATTAAACATACACTGCTGTTGAAAACTTTACACAAACATCTTCTGCAACGCCTTTTCTGAGAGTTCTCTCCAGACCAGAGCATGAGAAAAAAAATGTATGGACTACAATTTCCAGGAACTTCCAGCCAGCATGGCATGTAGTTATGTTGGCTAGGGCCTTCTAGGAGTTATAATCCAAAAAAATAAAGTTTTCCACTCCCCAGTCTCTAGACTAGAGATGGGCATGAATCAGTTCGTGCTGGGTCATCTCAAATTGTAGCAGGAGTGTATGCTTCCCTCCTCTGCCTCCTCCAGCAGCTTCCCACTCAGATGAGAAGGTGGAGCAGAGACTCCTGCAGCGCAGCCTTCAAGTGGGAGGCTAATGGAGGAGGTGGTGCAGGGAAGCACACAGTCACACAACAAGACAGTCACACAACGAGAAGATAGGCAGCATGCGCCGGCTCATGAGTGACACAACAAGACAGTCACACAACGAGGAGAAGATAGGCAGCATGCGCCGGCTCATGAGTGGGGGAGCCAGTCAGGGCTTCTGGGAGGTGGGGTGTGTGTGGCACCTATGGTGTTGCACTGACAACTGGAAACAACCCAGCACAAGGCGATATGCCCATATCTACTCTAGACTATAGATACAATTGCTCTGAATCTTTTAAGACTATTGTGGTTAGCCATTTCATCCCAGTTTTCCACAACTCTTACTGCCTTATAGCCGCATCTCTGCAACCTACCGTATCTCCAATCTTAAGGCCCACACAGGACTTAACTCCAGGAATGACTTCGTTATCCAGGCAGGTGGCATTGAATGAAAGGGACAATTCCTCTGGCAAATTGCGTACTTCCAGTTCAATCTTGGAACGAATTTTCTGAAAAGGGGCAAGAATACAAGAAGATCTGAAACTCAAGCCAGAGAGGAGCAAAACCATACCTAAAAGGTCAATTAATCTTCCCAGTTCAAAATGTGATAAGTATAAATTCATTATTTTGAACATTGTGGCTTCACTGCCCCATGTAGTTAATCTATTGCTCATCCCTTCTTCTCAAGTCAGTCTAGAGTAGGGGGTGATTCCTTTTGTCATAATGGATTAAACAAACTAGGATCAAGAGAGGCCAGGTATCACACTCCTCACCTGTGAAGTTTCCTGTGTAGCTTTAGGGAAATGTCACAATCTTTAGGTCAATAGCAAAGCCATAGAGGATTTTTTTCAATAAAATATATAGCCTGTCTGTCTGTCTAATTACATAGAATATTTATATAGGTGTACACAGGGATTCATCATGAATGTCAAAGCTGTGCTCAACAAGAAGCAATAAAGAAGAAAAAAACAGCAAGGAGAAAACTTTTAATTAAAGGAACAGAAGTCCCACAAGCCTCAATATGACTTTACCAGACTACAGAGGACAAAGTGGTAGCAACTTGTTTTTACCTACCTACCTACCTGACTGACTGACTGACTGACTGACTGACTGACTGACTGACTGACTAACTAACTAACTAACTGCCCAATTCTGGAATAAAATTGGAAGAGAAAAGTACAGGAAACACTAGAATGCAACTGTCAGTTATGTGGTCTGGCTGCTGTACAAAGAAAGTGAATAAAGGATCGCAATTCTCAGCTGAACTACGAATGTTTGTTTGCTATCCAAGGTGACTTAAAATCTATGCTCCTGAGGAGCATTATAATATTTCCAACATTTTAGGGAGTTATTATTTCCTTTGTAATGTCTTTCATTTCTTAGTTGTTCCACTTTATAATGCTGTCTATAGTTTGATAGCTGAAACCTCTGGGTCAGGTCCCCTGGTGTATGGAGTAATAGCATTTGTTATCTGAATTACTAATATGATAAAATATATCATATAATAAAATATGTCTGCATTTTCAGATGCACCTCATCTGAAAATACAGACAGTGGTTTTGCCTAAGAACACATTTGGCACTTGTGTCTAGAATTTTGGGGTTCCAGATGATTACTTAAGTTGTTTCTGTGATCAGGACAGCCTTGCTGATAACATAGTTATGTACTCACCCCATAGGAATCCAAAATCAGCTGCAAAACATTGCTGGAGTCTTTTGACAGGGTTCCTACTGTAGTTCCAGGAAGTAGTTCACTGTAATTCTGCAAAAGAAAATAGTGCCAATTCTAGTAAATGGACCAACAGAAATCAAGTAACTCTCAGATAGGCAAGTAATGAGTGTTTCCCCCCTAAATGTAACAATCTATAAAGTGGGTAGTACATATAGTGAAATTGTTATTTCTCTTTTATGTTATTTTCAAATTTTTATTCAGGGAATTAAAGGAAGGAAAGAAGGAAGGAAGGACTCACTTTTCAGACAGGGGCATGCAGCTTTCAGACTTGTACAACTTACTGTGTGTTTGTAAGTTTGTTTGTTTGTTTGTTTGTATGCTGCCTTCCTCCCAACAGGGATCCAAGGTAGCTCATAACAATTAAAGTTATACAATAATCAACCGTTTTAAAATATTATAGAGACACATTAAAAAGCAATTCAACGTGCATCAATATTAAAATCAAGATTAAAACCAATTTAAAAACACAGTTAAACACATGATAAAATCTCTATGTTTAACAACTGTAGAATCCCTGTTACTCTTATTGCTTAAAAGCTTGCCTGAAGAAGACAACCTCAAGAACTATATAATTGGACACTAGTGCCAAATATACAAATCTAGAAATGTGTCCAAAGATTTGTTCTGGGTGTTGCAACTGAATGGAACTCAACAGTGCTTTTACACAATTACTTTCAGTTTTCTTCATTACAGCAGTACGATGTAGGGTAATCTTGCTGCTGTTCTTTTCAAACAACATCCTGGACAGCCTATTGCAAATCTTTTCTTCACTCCTGATTTAGAGAGTTTCTTTCACATTGTCTCTTTCTACACCATCACAACCATATTCAAAGCTCAGTGAAGACCTCTTACCTGATACAGCCCCACGATAGAATGAGTCACAGCAAAAATCAAGTTAATGTTTTTCTGAGATAGTTTGTCCGTCAACAGGCCAAGAGATGGGTAATCCTTGGGAAGGAAAGGAAGATAGAGAAATGTCTTATTTCTTATTGGGTGGTGGTGGGGAGAAAACAACATTGTGGAGATGGGAGAAATGGATATATGTTTGTTTATTATTTATTTATGCTATTGCTTTATCCGGTTTTTCTTCAAAAGCTTTCAAAGTAGCTGAGAACAGTCGGTTAAAAAAACAACTTGACCATGATCGCAAAACTAACCATTAGGGACAGAATGTTTGGATTTTTGGACTCTCACTCCCAGAATTCTACCCTGAGGGATCATCAGTGAATTCTGGTTCTCCGAAACAATCTCCAAATCCCATCCCTGCTAATGATATTTCCACAGATCTCACTTACATAGATATACAGAAACCAGATAGCAGCACTCCGTTGGTGGCATTGCCAAGGGGCAGAATTATACAGGCCCAAATGTATTCAGCAATAGAGATTATTACAAGCAGGGAGCAGGCTTGACCTTCATTCCAGTACTGCCTTTGAGAATGCATTCCTTTATGATCTCCCACATCAGTTAATGGATGCTGTTCATCCCATGGGGAGCAGGGTGCCTTCTGCCACTGACCAATATGGTTCTAGCCTCAGTGATCGAATGGGTATCATGTGTCCCACATTCAGGATTTGTGTTGGACCTCAGACAAGCAGGAGACACGCTGCCTCAACAGTGTCTTCATTCCCATCTTTTCAATAAGAAGTCAGTAGCAGATGCTGATGTTGCCTGTCACAGCATACAGTTTCTTGTTGCCCTGCCTGTCATTAAAGTTGTTGACACAGAGGCCAAAAGGACAAGGCATTACAGGACCAGCTTAGCTCTCTGACTAATGCTCACCAGGACAGAAAAGGTGCAGTGACAAATGGTTTGGGAGCAGATCCTGCACCATGAAAAGGTGGGGAGTTCCGAAAAGGGCAGTGAGTGGAGAAAGGAGTAATCCGTTTTTAATTTTCTAAATCTGCCTGAGAAATCTTAGAGGCCTTCATCAAGTGGGGAAATAATTCAAGTCAGGTGAAAGTGGAGGTAAGCCATGTTCTACATGAGCTTTGTGGCACACTGGTCAAGTTGCAGGCTGCAGTCAAGACTCTGCTCATGACTTGAGTTCAGTCCCGATGGGCTGCAGTAGCCGGCTCAAGGTTGACTTAGCCTTCCATCCTTCTGAGGTAGGTAAACTGAGTACACAGCTTGCCGCAGGGAGGAGGGATCGTGTAGCCTGCATAACTAAATTGGAAGCCACCCAGAGAGTGCTTTAAGCACTATGGGGTGGTATATAAGCAGCACACCTGGCCTGGCTTTTTACAGCAGAAGAGGGCTGCTTTGGAGAGCCTGGAGCTGAGTTTGGCATTCCTTGCATCCCATCACAGGCTCTCTCTTCTGCTGGCATACACTGCTGAAATTCAGTGCACGCTTGGTTTAGAAGCACTTCCAGGTTTTTCTTTCTTTGGTTGATTTTTGCCATTTCTAGGGTTAGTGTGGCCTGCAATTAGTGCATGGAATGGGTGGCCTATTGAAATTTAGTGATGGAGGCCAAGGGGCCAAAAACAAGCAAAACAAAACAGAAACAAAAAAGGCCAGTGGTTCAATGTGACTTCCAGGTCCCATGCTGCCCATCTCTGTTCTACAAAAGCAGGAACAACTTTTTGTCGCTCCTCCTCCAAATGTACTGGGCCAATACGGAAAATGCTACACTTCTAATGTGGAGGTTCCAAGGTTAAATGAACGAACAAACGAACAAACAAACAAACAAACAAATAATGAGCTATTCAGAATACATTATGTTTTCTGGTGATTGCCTAAATGGAATGGAAGTCATTCTGTCAGTTCTAATGGCATTGTCCCCATAACTGATGCAATCCTGCCCAGTCTTTACCAATGTAGTAGAAGCTTCATAGAAGTTGTTGCTGTCCATGTGACAATGCCCATCATTGGGGATCACAATCCCTGCCAGTCTTCCATCTAAAGCAATATGTGTCTTGGCATCGGTTGTGAAGACAAGTAAGTGAGAGGCATCTGGTCTCCAGCCAATCTTGTCCTGTTTCAAAAAATAAAAAGCAGATGTCTAGTCTTCATCATACCCACACTCATCATAAGACTCAGAAAAAAAGCACTCAGTGGCAGAGACTCAGCTTCAGTGAGTGCAAATGAGTTGTCTTTAAGGCTCCAATTAAACAGTCAAACTGATAAAGAAATGGATTTTTCAAACCAAGGCTGTCCCCAGGAGATTCTGGATACCTGTAGTGGAAAATCCAACTGGCAACTTTCCATAGCTCGGGAGAGCTACTTTTATTTTTTGACATCCTATACGGTAGATATTTATGGGATTCTGAGAATTATATTGCCCAAAAGTAACTTTCTGAGCTATGCATTCTTCTGCATACTGGTTGAAGTAAGGCATGCATAACCCACTGAGAAGTTCTTCTTAGGCTAAAGGCAAATCCAAGAAGCATGGGTGGATTCTTACATCACAGACAGTAGCTTGGATGATGGCATCAAACCCTCCCTCTGGAGCATCACGGTTCCTTGAGACACTCTGCTTCTTCACTTCCTCATTGAAGCGCTGCACCTCATCTGTGAGTGCCAGGACATGCTTGTAGCCAAACATCGGCAAGCAGTGGTTATCTGGTGGTTTCAAGCTGGAAGGCACGAGAAGAAGCTTTTTACAGTATTTATTAAATTTATAGGCCAGGCTTTCTTTAGTGAGCACAAGGGGGCACACATGGTTCCCTTTTCTCTTCTCCCCCTTAATTTTCATAACAGACTGTAAATGTTAGAGGCCTTCATCAAGTGGGGAAGAAATTCAAGTCAGGTGAAAGTGGATGTAAACTATGTTCTGCACACAACACCTGCTCAACTATGGAAGGTAGGTTAGTCTGAGAGACGTGACTGGACCAAAGTCATCTAGCACAGCTCATGGTTGAGTAGGCGTTTTAATTCAGGTCTCCTGAGTCTAGTGAATACTGTAACCACTATCAATGGTCCCCAACCTTTTTGACACCAGGGACCGGTTTAGTTGAAAACCATTCTCCCAAGGACCGGGGGGGGGGGTACTTGTTATGCAGTAAGTTGTTGGAGGATAGCTTTGAATCAAGCTCATAAAGGAAATGGCGAGCAGGAGCAGGAGGTGAGCTGCAATTGAAGCTCCACCTCCTGTCAGATCAGCAGCGGCATTAGAACCTAATAGGAGTGCGCTGACAGGAGGCGGAGCTTTGCTCACCGCTCATCTCCTGCTCGCCACTCATCTGTCCTGGCAGCCCGTTCTTTCCAAAGGCACAGACCGGTACTGGTCCACAACCCAGGGGTTGAAGACTCCTGCACAATATGATACAGATAGGCAATGAACTGGGCACCTGTGGGCCTAACTGAAATTAATATACTGTACTCAGTCATTCCCCAGTGTCACTGTCCTCCTTTTAGTATGGACCTCAGTTGCTTTTTCTTGAGCTGAGACAAAGGATTTTATAAATCTACTCCTAGGTGTTGTTATGACGCCTGAGCAATCTGGTAATGTCAGAAGGAGAAATGAAGTTCACTCAGATGGAAATCTGAGGAGATGGCTAGGTGAATGTGCAGGCTGGTTTTACTCTGTCCCAGGTGAGGAAGTGAGGGACAAGTGAAGCAATGGAGCTGGGCCTCAATGCTATGAATCTGTCACTCTCCCACTCCTTTTTGAGGGGGAGAGCTTTGGAGGCACAGTGGGAACTGGACTCCTGCCACTGTGGAGTTAGGAAGGAAGGAAGGAAGGAAGGAAGGAAGGAAGGAAGGAAGGAAGGAAGATTTTGTATTGCCTACTGCCAGCACATTTTCCGGTAAGCAATTGTAAAACAAAGGATGCTGGGAATGCATCCCTCTAATTCCTTCTAATTTTCCATCAGCACTGTGTGGAGACCCAAATTTGCACACGCAAAGTTCTGGCCATGGGGTGGGAGGCAAGACTAATTGCAACTGTGCAGCAGCAATACAGTGCTGTGCAGCTGCACACACATGCAGTTTAGAGGGAACATTGGTTGCCTCTTATACATTCACTACTCTACAAGAAAACAGAAATGAAAAGGTGGCCTCCTTAAATTTCATACTATCTGAACCACAAACCAATTAGTATCACATATTGCATTGACTTAGCCTTCATAATGCAGCCACATTATCCTCAGTCCTTCACCATTAATTAATTAATTAGTTAGTTATGTACCATTAATTAATTATGTAGGTTGTAGAAACAAGTGAACCTGTTCAAGATTGCCAATAAATCACTAATTTTTCTTGGCCTTGGAAACATGAGACCTGACACCATATTCACTTTCCTACATCATATTCCATGAGATACAACATTTCAAAAATGGCCATCTGAAGCATAAGTACTCAATTAGATTTTTGGGGAAACTCCATTTAGGACAACTGGCATGCCAAAGATAATTCAACAGTTAGAATTTCTGTACATCTGCTGAAGTACTGTAAAGATCAAATCATTTTTATTTTAAAAGACCTTTGCTGAAAATTAGTTATCTAATTTTTACAGCAGAAGAGGGCTGCTTTGGTGAGCCTGGAGCTGAGTTAGGATTGAGCTAGGATCGAGCTCATTTTCACATTTGCAGTTTATCATATCAGAGACTTTGGGCACCATTTGCACAACTCTATTGCTGACTCTTGCCAACAAAAGAGTAGGCAGAAGAGGATTCAAAAGTCTAGATAGACTTGAGCTTGTGTTCATTGAGACCTCAAATGTGATATAATGATACTACACTGGTTGATTTGTAAGCTAAAGGCATATATCCAGGAATTCCACAGTAGCAGTGGAGTAAGGATACACTAAGGGAAACACTGCCAGCACAAAGTAGACAAAACCAAATTACTGTTAAGGTTGTCTGAATATTTTCCCATTTCAGTTCTGTGAACAGAAATAGCGCTTTGGGAAAGACAGCAAACTGTTTCCCGAGGGAGTGAAAAATCTGTTAATGTTTGCCATTATAAAGAATTTTTATTACTAAAAATAAACTAGTTGGTACCTCTTAGTTCTTCTTTTTCTCTTGTTAATTTTTTAAAAATTTTCTATTTTGAGAGTAACCTCAATCAATCAAGTATCTTGGGGTTATTGTGATGATGTCATGCATCCTCATGTGAGATTGGCTACATGACATCACTGAGGGCATCAACTGAAACTGAAGGCAATGCTTCCTGCATCCATCATCAATTGACTCTCCACAGAAGAACACAAATTGCCTCCTTTTATTTACTCATTCAAAGCCTTTTTAACCCACCCACCCCCGTGTTGGCTAGATAGCCCAATGGTTTAGGTATCTGGCTGCAGAGCCAGAGGTTCCCCACTGTTCCTCCTGTGAGTAGAGCCATCCCAGGGTGCCCCGAGAAGGAAACGGTAAGCTACTTCTGAGTATTTGCTACCTGGAAAATAGAATTTACTTGGGTGCACATTATGATTATTATTATTAGCTGAAAAGACTAGAATAAAAGTCTGCAAAAATCAACAATGCATCCTCCTCAAAGATCACCAAAAAGCAACAGCTTTTTCATACTGCCAGAAATACAGGTAAAAAGCACAGCATTCAGGTAGGTAAAAAGAGGTTGCCTAAACCATTCAAATTAAAAGGCGTTAGTGAAATAAAGGGAAAAAAGCTACCAGGCAAAGCCCACTGTCATCAGTACCTCCACTATAAATAAGCCTATAAACACTCTTTCAACGATCGTACTGTTCTCCTTGAGAAAATGTGCTGTTCTCCAATGGTTTATGTGACAATTATCCCCAGTGCTTTGTTTATGTGAAAATTGTGATGCACAAGATAGCTGGCTATTTGAAATGCAGTTGTCTGAAAGCAGCCAGTTGCACAGTGTGTGTGAAGTGGTTTCCTGTAGAACTGCTTGGAAATATTCTTCACGCCAGCATAAAACCACACAGGAATTTTAGAAGATTGTCAAAACCATATGGAGAGCAATTTCACACAAACCAAAAGCCCTGTGCAGCTGTACTCATGCAGCTTCAAGAAACAACCAGGCTGAAATGTGTACCCAAAGCGTTGACAGAGGGTGTTTCCAGATAAAGTTTTTGTTGTGAAATTCCCTGCCTCGTTCACTGAGTTCTCATAGGGAAAGGAGGAGTCCAGAGGACACAGCCTCCCATTGGTAACTAGTATTTTCTCACTGCTTCTGCAATATTTTCACCTACCTTAAAAAACCATAGAGTGAAGGAAGGACAATACCTGCCCAGTGCCTTTTCATTGGCTGTTCTAGGAACTCTTTATCTGAAAACCTTCTTAAAGACCCGATGTGCTGGCGTGGCTATGAATACAATTGCTTTAACAGCATTGACATTAAAAACAGGTAAGGTTTAACAGCTTCCATCTTGAACTTTAACCAGCTAAATCAAGAATACTAGTTTACAGAACAATCACTGTTGCTGATTAACACCAGCAATGCTGAACATTATTGCTGATGTATCTCTTAAGTAGGGATAAAAAGAATTTGGTTGGGTTCATTGTTCTGGATGAAGGCATCTGTTTCACACCTCCCCAGATTTGTTCCAAGATGAAGCACATCTTACTTTCAAAACCTACACATGTGGGGGTGCCTGTGGAAGAAACAAAATAGGCTGGATAGTTCAGTGAGTTGGGTACCTGGCTTACAGCCAGAGGGTGGGAGTTCAACTTCCCACTGTGCCTCCCAGCAGAAGAGCCAGCCTCTGTAGCCTGGGGCAAACTGCACAGCTCCAGGGTGTCCTGGGATGATGAGAAAGGCATACCATTTCTGAGTACTCTATGCCTAGAAAATGCTTTGCCATGCCAGAATCAGCTTGGTGCTGCACAATTAAATTAAGTTTTAAAATGAAATTATGGTGCATTTGGGAAACACTGAAGTATATTCACCAGTCTATGCCCACATTTTTAAAAAGCAGACAGCTAGTAAAGCATAAAAATTGACAAATATACACTTATTTGTTTCAGCCAATTGGGGAAACACATACAAAAATACAAATGATTTTAAATGCCTCCCCCCAATACAAAAATTCCTTTGCAGAAAGCAAAGTCTCGCAATCTGATATGAATCAAGAACAGGATGAGAATGCAGGTGGAATTCAGAGAAATGGAGTGAAACTAAGACTTGAGAGATTTTAGCATATTAATTCGTAATTGCAGCAAAGGCAGCAAGCAAAAGAACACCCACACACCCCATTCCTGATTTCCCTCCATTTTCACTGTTATGCCTCAAAAAGTGAGGAAGGAATAAAGATATGAACCCTCCAAATTCTAGATTGCAAGGTTTTAAAAAACAACAACAAAGAAATGCATCACAATCAACATTGCTTCCTCTGGAGTGAGAACTTACTCATAGCATGGATTTGTTAAGGCTTCCGGAGGGGAAATATACATGTAAGGGGACAGGGGCTTGTCAACGAAGGCGCCAAAGCCAATCCTCAGGTTGCTGGTCACTTTGCGCATTTCCATGGCTAGTCTGGTGCCTAAGTTCTGGATGTTGCGGAGGTCATCCTTCATGGAATTAGACAAGTCCATCAGATAGTAGATATCCACAGGGTAGTCCTCCACCTGACGCACTTGCACTGAGAATGTTTGGGAGTCATCTGAAATGTTAATATGTGGGTTAGTTGTGAGGAGATGGGCAGTTGCCCTCAGAAATTCAAGGCCAGAGTCTCTCTCTCTCTCTCTCTAAATGTTGGGTTAAACATTTCACACTGACATAGGCCTGCAACGACAGAAGCTGACACACATTTGCCTCTGTCCCCTGAGGAAATTTATGGACTTGGATGACCGGCACTTGAGCTGACATTCAAGCTTATATATTCACCCCACAGCTTTACTGTGAGAGTTACTTTAAAAGCAGTTATGTGTTCCAGTAGAACACACTTACTCCCAGTAAAGTGTCACTGTTTTGGTTTTTATGCATGTTTTTTTAAAGTTACTCATTAAATTATTTCTTACGCTTCAGTTACTTTTCATATCTATGTTTGAAAAAGGCACGTTTACATATCACCCAACGAGCAATACTCAAAATGGGTTTACAAATATGAAAGAAAACACAGAATCATAGAATAACTGACTTGGAAGGGGCCAGTAAGGCCATTGGGTCCAAACCCCCTACTCATCGCAGGAATTCAGATCAAAGCAGATCTGATAAAAGGTTGTCTCATGATGCCTCCAGAACATGGAACCTGAATAAAATATGATCACTATCTTTACAAGAAAAAAAAACTAGCTGAATAGTGTCACTATATTAAAATATTAATATGTTAGAAGCTATAAAATGTAAGCAATAAAAAACAAAGATAGAAATACATATAAAAAACTGAATGCCTGTTCGATCAGGAATGACTTTGCCTGGTGTGTAAATGCTGCCAATGAAGATGTAAGATGGATCTCTCATAGAAAGGCCTTCCATAGATAGTAGTCACTATTCAGAAGGCTTTTTCTCTGCCAGCTACTCTCTGCATTAGTATGGTGGCAGCACGCACAGAAACCTTCTGAAGATTATTTTAGTGATATTCCATCATATAGACTGATCCTACACTGTTTGGACCTTCGGCACCAACACCTTGATTCAAAGGTTCTGGACCCTCTTCAAATGTAACCCCACACATAACACATTGCAATAATCCCAGCGGGAGGTTTGTTTCCTTCCCCAACCAACAAAAGAAATAAGTCAAAAGCGAACCCGAGATTCATGTGCTTAGTTTATCACACTGCAAGCAGGAGCATTAAAGTAGCAGACATTAGCAATGCATGCTGCCTGCTCATGGCAGGCCAAGGTTCCTACATATCCCTGGATTGTTGTGTGATGCGAATGTGCCCACTGATTATCCTACAGCCAGTATAACCTTCTCTAACTGAAGTGCCCCTTCACAGTCTCATGTAGAGGCTACTTCCCAAATCCTTGTACTTGACATCTGTTTAACTGAAGATGGTGGGAATGCAGGTGGAGGCCTTCTAGAGTTAACATGTTGGTACCATAGAGCTATGCTTATGAACATCTCTACCGGCTTATATGGAAGGATAGATATACAGCATGTCAACAGACTAAATATTCATTCATTCATTCATTCATTCATTCATTCATTCATTCAACTTATATACTGCCAGATAAGTACAAGGCACTACTATGGGTGGTTAACAATGAAATAATATAACTATAATAGATGAAATACAATAAAGTAAGTCAAATCAATAACATAAATTAAACCAGTCAGTCAACCAAATATATTTTTCCATACCTGGCCTCAGATGGAGCTCAATCTTCTGTGGGGTCATTTGAGTGATTTCATCCCCTGACCCTTTGTCACTAAGGGGCCTCGCTTCTAGGAAGTGAGTGCTGCTGACTGGATATTCAATCTGTTTAACTGGACAGCCATTTTTAACTAGATTATCCCTCAGGTCACAGCGAGAAAATCCTGGTTGCAAGTCCTGTGGTAAAGAGAAAGAATGGAGAAGACCAGCAGTAAGATAAAAGAATTCTCACATCAGCAATCCAGCCGTCTTGGGCTTTCTGTCAATAAGTAACTTCTAAAATGAGAGGTGCTATGAGAGGGGGAGTCAGAGGGACTCAGTCTTCCTGGAAACCATATTCCTACACCATTCTTCCTGATTGATATTGGTTAAGAACATAAGCAGGGACAAGCTAAAACAGAGCAAAAGTTGTTTATGGTCCGATATCACTATGAAAACATATGATTTAGTTACAAATTGCCTGGATTACTGCAATCCATTTTGTGTGGGGCTGCCTTTGAAGTGTGTTCAACTATAGTCCAGGGAGGCATAGGGCACTACGACTCCCTGATGGAAAATTGACAGTAGCCTTACTAAATTATATATGCCTGCCTCAGTTTCTTTGGGAGGAGCCATGAACAGTTAAATGAGTATGAATATGTAGTGTAATCATGATGTGTATGTGTGCATCATAGTCTTAAATATAACCCATCCTTATTAGCTTAATTGTAGCCAGACTTGTGGTTTTAATATTTTTTTGCATCTGCCAGTTTTTAAATTTTTAAACCACTCTCTGAAACTGAAGGCAGAGTTCTGCCTTCACCAAAACTATGGACAAACTCCATCAGTAAGAAGTATTTCAATTATTGTGGACAAAATAAAACTTCTCAAAATAGGAAAATGACACAATAATTATGTACATACAATGGTCATAGCTTCTGCAAAGTTTTTTTTAAAGCCTAAACTGGTCTCCTGCACCTCACTAACCCCTAAAAAACTGCCAGGAAATCCGGCTTTTCTTAGAATCAAAAGTTCCTTAACTCTATACAGTGTGATATTTTGTCACCAGCTGTGAAAGCTCATGGGGCAGGGAGAACCAACCAGCCCTCAAAGTCTTATCATTTCCTCCAATATGTAAACGGCAGGAACACTGCAGCCCTACCCACCCCACAAAAAGAGGGCCGAAAAGGGAACAAGAGCGCAGCAAGGGTAACACTATGTGAGGAAGGCAAAAGGGAGACATAACGGAAAGGAAACAAATGATCAACATGAGACAAAGATATTTTTGTGGTTCCTCAGGAAAAAAATGCACCCAGGTTTTATCTTTTATTTTTCTTAGAATACATGAGGTTGGGATTGCCATCTACTGTACTGTTTTCAGTGACCTGACACCTCTGTGCCTTCATTTGCAACATAATACTTTTCCTCCAAGCTGAATGAAGGCAGTTTTTAAAAGATTTTAAAGCAGTGTCCCAAACTTGAAGTTGCAACCCCCTTTTATAATAGCCAAGTAACCTGTGACACCCCCCACGTTTGCATAAAAACATTTTAATGGGGTAAAGTCATCCCTTCTCAGAAA